CTCGCTAACACGCGCGCACCACCGACCATGAAGGGGAGGCGTGTCTCGCCGGATGACGTGTCCACCAGCGTCGACGTGAGCTGGACCGCGCCATCGAGGTCGGCCGGGTGCACCTTGGTGCCGTGCCGACTCCTCCGGCGCGAGAGGTGTGCCACCGCGAGGCCGCCCTCCTTGTCGGCGTAGACGCGAGCCAGCGTGCGGAACTCGGGCCCGTACTCGAGCCCGCCCTCGCGCAGCGCCGTGTACAACGCCGTGTGCTCGAGCGCGGCCGAGGTGCCCGTGAGCTCGCGCACGCAGGCTGGCTGTGGGCACGCCGGGGCCTTGCCGGCCGCGCCCGTGCTGCCAGCGCAGTGCACCACCTTCTCCCCCTCCTCCGTCGTCTTGGAGGAGATCTCGAAGCGCTCGCCGGCCCCATCCACGTCGCACAAGACCAAATCGCCGTCGGTCGCGTCGAGCACGAGCGGCTGCAGAAAGTAGACTCGCTCGAGCACCGCGGCCTCGGCATTGCTGACGGCGCAGTACGCCTCGCGCGCCATCTCCAGGTAGCCGGCGCCCGGAAAGACGACGTGGCCCTTGACTCGGTGGCCGAGCACGAGCTGCACGAAGGGACCGCGAGCGGGCGAGACGAAGGTGTCCTCGGAGGCGCCGTCGGTCGTCTCGAGCCGCCGCTGCAGGAGCACGTTGACCTCCTCGCGCCAGGCAAAGACTAGTCGCCGGTAAGCGCCTCGATGCACTTCAACTCGCCTGCGCGGGTCGACGCGTCCGAGAGAGCGCCCTCGAGCAGCCCCTGCTGCGCAACGCCGTTGGGCGCGGTGAGCGAGGCCGACTTGCCGTCCTGCCGCACGCAGCTGCCAAGGAGGGGGAGCTGGTAGTGCGTGGTCGCCGTGCGGGCCCGCAGCGCCATGCCGCAGATCGCCTCTCCTCGGCAGTAGCCGTCGGCGCGCGAGTCGAAGGTGTGGCAGCGGCCCCTCGCCGAGGTCATCCCGGCAGTCGCAAAGGCAAACGCGGTGCCGGGCAACAGCATCACACTGGCACCCGCCACGAGGCCGTCGGCGCACTCGTCGTTCTGCATTGCGCGCAGCGATGCGTGGCAGGCCGCGAGGGCGGCCGAGCAGGCGGTGTCGTACGAGACGCACGGGCCCATCAGGCCGAGCGCGTAGGAGATGCGGCCCGAGGCGACGGAGAGGGTGGAGCCGGTCGCCGAGTAGACTGAGTTCGCGTAAGGAGTCGACTTGATCACCTCGCCAAAGTCCATGGCGGCGATCCCGACAAAGACGCCCGTCAGCGAGCCCATCAGCTCGACCTTGCCCAGGCTGGAGGCGTGCAGCGCCTCGTACCCAGCCTCGAGCAGCATCCGCTGCTGCGGGTCCATCGCCGCCGACTCGGCGGGCGAGATGGAGAAGCACTTGTTGTCGAATAGGTCGGCGTCCGTGATGAAGGCGCCGTGTCGGATGCGGCGTGCGACCTCGCCATCCCCCGACGAGCTTGGCGGCAGGCTCCACCGCCCGTGAGGCACCTCCGAGGCGGCGTCCGCACCGCTCGCCGACATCAGGTGGACTAGCTCGCGCGAGGCATGGCCGAGAG